CTAAGGGTGTGTCAGTTTTATTCACTTCTGGAAAATGAGTGTCCATCACCTGTTGTTGCACCAATGTGACCTGAGAGCCTGTATCCAACAGGGCAGTCATCTTAACTCCTCCCATGCACACTTCTGTGAGGGGACACTGTCCAATGAAAGATGTGGTGGCCCTTTGTTTACTGGATATACACATTGTCCCCACCACCTGGGCCTCAGTAGCAGGGTTACTTAGTTTAACAGCGGTGGTTGGTCCAAAGTGGTTTGGCAAAACCGGGCAATATGTCCAGCTTGCTTACAGTGATGACATATGGGCTCCCCATCCCATGTCCAGCTATTGGTGTAACCGGAGCGCTTCGGCTTAAATCTTGGTTTATTAGGAACTGGACTTGTCTGACTTTGCTGCGGCAGGAGAGGTTTAATCTCATCAAAAACATCTCTTACGATTTCTCTCATTTGACTCTTCACATCATCCAGAATTTCTTTTTTAAACTTCTCCTTCTAGTCTGGTTCACACAATGGTTTATTCCTCACGGACTCACCCACTGTGAAGCAAGTAGTTTGCAGTCCTTGGCATCCCAGCTGTTCCTCTTCTAACAGTAAAGCCTCCTGATGGACAGTTGCAAAGTCATCTTCAGGGTGGTGCCGCACATAGGCTCGCAGAGTCTGTGACAGTGGGCCTTCACACAAACCCAACAGCATCTGTTCCTGCAGGCTCTCCTCAGCAGGTGCGTGGTCAGGGCTGCGCCGCTGTAGCCTGCAATATAGCTCCCTTAATCTTAAGGCGAATGCTTTCACCGACTCATTTGGTTTCTGTATACAACTGAAAAACTGTGACCTTAACACTGCCACAGGAGTATTGTCACCATACAGAGAATCCAAATACTCAAAAATTTTCTTAACTCTGTTTCTGCCTGCTTCTTCCAACACAGCAACTTGACGTTTTGGCTCACCACTCAGAGCCCCAAGTAAGATTTCTATCTTCCTGGGTTCCTCCATCTCTTGAGCATTTAACAACCCCTGCAGTTGCTCCTTCCAATCCCCATATGAAACATCTGCATCCGGACCCCTGTACTTTGGTACCCAAGGGGCACCCGGATACACAGGCATCATCATTCTTGTCTCCGCTCCTAGGCACACAACCCTGCTCCCAAACCTGTATCCTGCCAACAACGCCAAATTATGTCACCTAGGCAACGCCGGAGCGGCAGAGCTCCAGCGTCACACAGGGGTTCACAACGACACAGGTGGAGAGCGAGGGTGCAAAACCAGAGGGACAGAGACACCAGAGAGCAGAAGTTTGCCTGCAACCTCTTTTATTAACTAAATAAAAGCCCGTCTAAAAATATACAACTAAAAGTTTGAGTCCATAAAAACAGTTTAAAACGTTCTTCAAAAAGATCCCAAAAGATAGTTGGGCTCCTCCGAGATCCACAACGTCACGAACAGGATGGGAAAGGCGGCGTCCCGGCTTCAGCGTCCGACTCCAGTCTCTGGTCGCTCTCAGCAAGCACTCGTCTCAGGCGTGCTCTCCCGGGGGCTCTCGCCGCTCCTCCCTGACAAAGACAGAACACTGGGGCAGAACTTTTGTCCGTACTGGCGCAGTGCAAACTCTTTCTCGTAGGATCGGCCCATACGGCGCGTCACCCAGCATACAACAGAGGAAGCCGTTTACTCACGGATGCAGGCAGAGGTCCAACCTCTGCCCTGCTGTCATTCAAAGGCGTTGCTCCCACTCGTTGTCGCTGCACGCCAGGGATGAACCGGTCCTCCTGCGATCCAACGCGTTCCGTGCTACGTCCACCTATTAGTCCAGTCCCTCTGCCTTCGGGTTTCTTTGGTCTCTTTTTCCTCTGTCCTCCTGCAGTTCTGCAGCTTCGTCCCTTTATCAGCCCGCTAACTATGCGCACCTGGTGCGCTCTCCCAGTCACGCCCACCTCTTCAGGTGACTGTCATGTCAACAGTGGCAAAAACAATATAAACTAAACAGGCCCATAAAACCAACAACACACGACAAAATCATGCAATAATAAAAAACTGTTAAGAAATTCCAACAATTAATAAAAGAATTTAAAGCAACAGAAAAACACAAATTCCACTGTGTGACAAGTACACCACTATCTGTATCTGTTCAACCATCTAAATGATCTGTATCTGTACTTGGAGTGGGCGTGGCATAACCCGGAAGTGGGTGTGGTTTACGCTGAAGTGGGTGTGGTTTACATCAATATATTATTTTAAGTCTGAAATTGATTTGGAATGATCAGAAGTTGATATGTGTATTGTTTATCTGAAAACTATTTACAGAGCAGCCTCAGAATTGAGATTAAATATTTTGATCACAATAGTAAAGGAACTATTACAGAACACGTTTTTCAATAAAATCAGAACATTAATATTTAAGTGCATGAATTAATACGTCTGAACTCATGCAGTAGGAACTATCCATCCATCCATTGTCTGAACTCGCTTTGTCCACGTAGGGTTGCAGGTGTGTGTGTGTGTGTGTGTGTGTGTGTGTGTGTGTGTGTGTGTGTGTGTGTGTGTGAGAGAGAGAGAGAGAGAGAGAGAGAGAGAGAGAGAGAGTAAAAAAAATTTTTTAAAACGCGATCGGAGGCAGTGACCAACGCAGCATGTCAGTTCTGTCTTGTCAAATGCATGTAAGTTAAAAAAAAGCAACTTTAAATAGTCAACTGAAAAAGAGGCGAGCTGAGGAAAACCTAAGGAGTACTGAAGAAACGTGAGCAACAGTGAAGCAAACACAGAGAGAACCGTTACTGTCTGTGTGTGTGCGTGGATGGGCCGGACTGAGCTCCCAGCTGCAGAGTTTTGTGTGTAGGGAGGGGCGGGCGCTCTATGTCACTGGCCAATCACAGAACGTGAAGACAGTCAGTTACCCAATGAGGATTTTCCTTCAGCACGATTACAGATATTTACGAGTTTTACTCATTTCATGCTCGTATTTGTCAAAAATGCTTTATCCGTACCAGATACTCGTCTGAAACGAGTACCCGGCCCATCCCTACTAAGAACAAAATTTAGAATGTTCGTATGAACGGTCAAAAACCTGATTTATGAAACATGCGGTGGCCTCTCGTACACATTCCTCTGCAATCATCTGATGATAAATCCCACTTGTTCGTACCCAGGTGCTTGTGTCCGTTCTGAGTCAATTACATGCAGGAACTCCCTCAATTAACCATATTTGGTCACACTACATCCTATAAATGTCCTTAAGAAAATAGCTGTGATCATCCCAAAAACAATGGCTAAGAGGGCGAAATAAGGAAACTTTGGTGACAGTGAATTCCAGGAACTGGTTGCTGAGGTTCAGGAAAACCAAAAAAAAATTTTTTTGGGACCCTCATCTCTGGTGTGACCAGAAGAAGAAACTTTCCACCTGGGAGAGAGAAGCAGAGGTGGTCAACTCTGTTGGCACAGAGGAGAGGTTCCTGTCTGAGATAAAGAAAATTTGGTTCAACATTAAAGTAGTGATGGGAATTCCAGCTCTTTTTAGAGAGCCAGTTCTTTTGGCTCAGCTCACCAAAAAGAGCCGTCTCTTTGGGCTCCCAAGTGGCTCCTCAGATTTTCAGTTGCGTAGAGTACATTTATAACCAAAATAATGCAAAACTATGTGTAAAATTATTTACTAATGTAAAAAAAATGCAATATATTAAATATTTATCATTTCTATGGATTTAATAACTGAACACTTTAAGAAATCTCCACTTTCCAACTGCTGGCGCTCATTTTCTCACCGTCTTCGTCGCACTCTCCTCTCTCTCTCTCTCTCTCTCTCTCTCTCTCTCTCTCTCTCTCTCTCTCTCTCTCTCTCTCTCTCTCTCTCTCTCTCTCTCTCTCTCTCGCCTTTTTTCTCCTCCTCGTTCCCTCTCGTCTCCCTCCACCCGCATGTGCTCTGCTGTGTGTCTGAGTCTGATCCTCCCTCTTCCCCGTCCCTACTGCTCTGTGTGTGGACAGTCTGGACACACAATTACACACGTTGACCAATCGCCTGTAGCTTTCACCAAAGCAAGAGGGGAGGGGAGGGGGCGGCTCCCAATGACGAGCCGGCTCCCGTCGTTCACTTCAAAGAGCCGGCTCTTAGAGCCGGTTCGTTCGTGACCGACACATCACTACATTAAAGTAAATACTAAGAAACGTGTCGCAGCTCATAGACAGGCTGCAGCTGCTACTGAGGTGGACAGAACACTGTGGACCTGACAAACATAGACACGCATGTTGCCGATATAATCAGAGGTACTGCACTGACAGCATGGACGTAGATTTTTCCAAAGTCAATTTTTGTCCCCTGAACTTATCACATGTTTTCTGTTAAGATCTCTGGTTTTTAATAAATACATACATGAAAAATGTTGGGTTATTTGATTTTGCACATTTTACTCACTTATTGTGTCATCTACTAAGGTTTTAACCAAAACATTTTATTTAAATTAATATTTTAATCAATTATTTACTATTTTCCACTAGATGTTAGGCTGAAAGCACAATCAGTTGGAGTTGGAAGCTGGAACACAAAACGAGGCAGTTATGTCACTTTCTGCATTGGAAGTTCCGAGTTCCGGAACTCATGGAATGCACGAAATGCATGGTCCTCACTAAGATAGAAAGACCTTGTGTGTGTGTGTGTGTGTGTGTGTGTGTGTGTGTGTGTGTGTGTGTGTGTGTGTGTGTGTGTGTGTGTGCGTGTGTGTGTGTGTAAATGGATGATTAGGGAACACTTTGGATTTATTAATGCCTGAAACATGAAACAATAATTATTTCTATAAAAGAGGTAAGTAGAAGTGGAAGTAATTCTACAATGACAGTAATAGAAAAATCTACTTGGCCCTAAGTGCATTAATAAATACACACACACACACACACCTAAATGTATGTTCAATTGAAGGTGCAGACCTTTAGCCAAACACGATGCAATGTACCACAGTACTTTATTTGATTCATTTTGTGTTGGTGGACGTGTCTTATCTCAGCTGTCTGACTTTACCCTTCAGGTGGACCAGGTGGACATTCTGCCCACAGATATGATTTTCACAGTTAGAGAAGCACCCCGGCTTGGTCATGTGGTCATGTTGAAGAACAGCTCAGAGGGCTCAGGCTCACCGGTTCTCGACTACATTCACTCCTTTTCTCAGGAAGACATCGATCAGGGACTCATCTTCTACGTTTCAGCATCCATCCAGGTTTACGTCTGTTTGTCTCATCCTGCTGTTTTCATTCAGCATACTTGTTACTCAAACTGAGACCAATGCTTCTGAAGGATTGTTTGTCAGTGTTTGAAACCAAATTCACCATCTGTGTCTCTCAGGGCTCCGATGTCTTCACGCTAGATGTCAGTAATGGTTTTAACACGGTGGAGGGCCTCCAGATCACAGTGAACGTGGTGCCCCGGTTCATCCCCATCCAGACCTTTAACTTCTCTGTGAAGGAAGGCCTCAGCAGAACAATTGATGAAGCAATTGTGAATGTCTCACATCCCTACTACAGCTCCATAAACGTAGACTTTTTTGTGGATGAGCCTCCTCAAAATGGTGACATCCGCCACCTGCATGGAGATCTGCTCACTTACTTCACCTGGGAAGAGGTATGGAGACAGAGAAAATGTGTTTAAAATTCATTTTTGTGTAAAATCCAGTTTAGAAAGGAACAACAGCAAAAGCAGCGCACGTGTGAAGCATGATCCCATGTCTGAGGGCTCTGCTCCTAGAACTTCTGGTGCATATGGAGGTCAGGTCCAGCAGGAGGCTCTTCGTAATTTTCTATGTAATGTTCCTGGTGGTGTTACCCAGGGCTCTGAAACCACAACAATCCAAATGCCACTTCTCTCTCCGTTTCTATGAGTAAATAGTTTAGAGAGCTGTCTAATTTTCATCACACGCGTTTAGTACTGAAGTGTTTGTATGAATGCCACTCCCTACGAGACACCAAGTAAAGGAGTTTCTACAACAGCAACGATGACTCAAACATGTTTGTGAGAAAACAAGACCAGATTTCCCTCGCTAAGAAACACATAGATGCTCTGTGAAGTCATGAGATGTGTACCGTGTGTGTGTCCATTAAATCTGTATCTGATCAATTAAATTATAATTATTTAAGTGAAAACAGTTCACAAAATAAAAATATGAGTTTGGATCATCCCAATTACTCCTGACAGGGTAAAATCCTCACCTCACAACTACACTGTGGTTGTTGTGCTTCAGCAGCAGGGGCGGCGTTAGGCCCGGCTACTTGGGCTGAAGCCCCGGATCTTTCATGATAAGCCCCGGATCTAATTTATCGCGGAAGTAACATGCAGTACCAAAGTCCAACAGAGAGGGCGCAGCTGGCAGTAGTTTGTATACAGCCTGCCTGAGCCTCCACCACTGAAGAAGAAGCCCTTCAGCAGCTGGCTTCTTCTACACTCTGAAACGCATGAGTGAAGATGGACATAAGGACGTTTTTTAGACAAAAAGTACCGCAACATAACCCCAGCTTTGATGACACTGGTGTTGACTCAGGTTTGTGAGTCTTATTTGAAAATATTTGTTGTGCTGCTGGTTTGCCTAAAGTTAGCTTACTATCAGGTAAAGTTGATGGAGAAAGAAAGGGAATATTTACTATCATCTCACACTAAACACATACAGGAACAATACTCTGCCCTGAATATGCTGAATATGTAGCTTCAGATAAAAAATTATGTGGTACAAGATATATATGATGTTGACTAGTGCGTGTCACGCGTGTGCGCGCGCGCGTGTGTTAAGCCCCGGATCTTCTTCAGTCCTAAATCCGCCCCTGTTCAGCGGGACATCTCTGTGGAACGTTCCCTTGTTGTTCCTGGTTTGAGCTGTTTGTTGGTTTGGTGTACTGCGCCAGCTGAGGAGAGGAGTCAAGGAGCTGCTGCAGCTATCTGGTCTTTCTCTTTCAGACACCCCAACCAATGGAAATTCATCATGCATGTGAATGGAGAACATAGGTTAGGGGAGGTGGTTATCCACATGTCTTATAGGTCCTGCGTCCTCCAGCCTTATTCTGCTGAGTCAAGGTGGAAAACCTGACGGTGCTTGCAGGCTGCCTGCAGCTTCATTTCCTCCTGTGCCTTTTCTGACGATTCTAATGTGAAACAAGGACAAAACAGAACAGCAGAGATTATGTTAGCAGGGTGAAGCCCAGGAGGGGATTAGTAACAAACACTTCAACCATTAAAAACACACAAGAGAGAATTGTGTGTCAGCTATGAACCTTGTCATTCCTCCGCTACATCTTCACTGGTGTTCTATAGTTATAAAGTCAGACTTAGGTTTGTTGCTCCATCAGACATTAGAGTTTACCGTGAATCCGTGTTTGATCACAAACCGTATCCTAAATGAACAAGATGCGAAAACTACTGGCGTTTCTGCATCTAGTCTGATGTACAAACGAACACTCCAACATACTTTGTATACAGATAAATAAGGAGGACATGATCTAAGCCAGGGGCACCCATGTAATGGCCCCAGGGCCACTTAACAAAACGACCGGGGGGTGCACGCAGTTTGGGGCCCACAAAGAAGGCCTATTGACCAAACCCATGTCCCAGATCAAACTAATTATCCAACAAGACGAGCTCACGTCTGAATGAAAACACAAGAACTAACCCGAATGAAGCGCTCTAGAATGACCTTTAGGACACAAGCTGTTCTTCACTAAACAACCTGATGATGCTGAGAATTCCTGCGGCTGCTGTTTGAGCCACAGGGGCTTTGATCAGCTATTAAAAGAGTTGTTTTACTTTTATTATGTTTACAAAAACCCTAACATGCTATTTTATTTTGACCTGTGGCAGTTGGCAGAAATGGAATAGATCCCTGACTCTGACAGCTTTGATGTCTTTCTTGTCCTACAGGTGAAACTCGGACAGATTGTCTACATGCATGACAGCACCGAGACCACAGAGGACAATTTTACACTATCTGCCTCGGCCTATGAAATTGACCGCCGCAGTCATCCTGTCACCATCTCTGTTACCATCATACCGGTGAACGATGAGCCACCCAGACTGACACGGAACACTGGCCTGGAGGTAAAGTGGGTGTGGGCACATCGTTTTAAGGGCATCACATTTTAAAGGGTCTATAATGAGCCTTATTATGCATCTTTTATTTACCCATTTATCAGGGATTCTGGGACATTTTAAGCTCCAACATAACTTTATATACTTTATAGAGGCTCAAAGATCAGCTTCCAAATTTAAAAAAATTAAAAAAAAGGGTAGGGACAGTGCCCTCTGGTGGCAGATAACGAGATCGCCCCGTTTCCAACCAGAAACAGAAACAATAGTTTTTTTTTTGGATGATGAATTAATGAATCAGAAGTAACACGAAGTGTGTACAATTTCAATAAATCTGGCTTAAGCTCGCCATAATATGTAGGAGTAACATACATATGTATTTGGGTGCTTTTAAAGCTTGATATACTACACTACACTTTGACCAACATGATGTGAATTTCGATATAAATATGGAAATTTAGTCTGATTGGTCTTTGAATGTTTAACCAGAAGATTTAGAATTCTTTGTTTATTCAGGGATTGTCAGGCTTCGTATTAATTCAAGGAGAGAGTCAAGTTTATAAAAAGAAAGAAATTTATTTTCTAAACAATTATAACATGACAACTAGGAACACTTAATGTGATGAATGGATCTAAGTGGATGGAATGTGAGGTGTGATGATGTGTGAGTGTGATGCTATCAGAACCTTTGTATCTGGAGAAAGTGAGTTTTGAGTGGAAGTGAAGTTGTCTGCTATAACTAAAGTGACGGTTTATAAAACCACATCAGACGCAATCTGTCGAATCTACATACCAGCTTGAAGACCCCCGTGGTAAATCCAGAATGTTGAAGGCGGGGACCCCAGAGGTACCGAAGTCCGTAGAAGAAACCGCAGTGCCGACAAGACCGGTCTCGAGTTCTCATGTACCATGTTCAGCGCCTTGGGCTTCCCAAAAGGGGCGCGGAAGGCCCTTTATAAATAAAGCTTTGATTGATTGAGATGTCTCCAGGTCATGACAGTTGTTATTTGCATCTTAGGAATAACTCTTAAGGAGTTGAAGCTGGTTCAGCTTTATTCTGAAGGAACAGTTTGCAGTCAGCTGTAGCATGCAGCAGGTTTTTGACAGCTTTTTAAAAGATGCTCTGGGTTAAAGAGATTTTGATCCAGATGGCCGGTCCAAAGCTTTCTCAAAAACTGACTCACGGTGAAGTGAACTCTGTTTTAATAATCGTCATATTTTGATTTACTAACAAATCAGAATTTGACATGTAAAAAGGGTTTTACCAACAAACCGTAGAAAACATGCCTCGCATCAGATACAGGAGTTCTGATTGGTGGAACAGAAAGCAATGTGTCAGGATATTAACCCTTTAAGCGCCAAAGTCGCAGAATTGCGACAAGCAGCAATGTTGGATTTAATAAGCCACAGCAGCAGAAATGAGCCCTCATGCAGTTAATGCATTACACTGCGGGGTGGCAGACACCTGCAACTTCAATCCAAGCAGCATTTGTGGGTGTGTTACTATTCAAATTTATGGTGTATTTAGAGCTTGAACCCCGCCCACCAGTCGCAGAGCCGCGGGGGTTGTCAGAGCGAGCGAGTGGAAGAGGGAAAAAAACACAATGCCGAGAGGAATGTTCAGTGCTGACAAAGCTCTTCGTGTAGTACTGGCAGATTCAGATTCAGAGGAAGAATATTTCCTTTCCGAGGATGATCTGCGATCTTCTAGCGAGACAGAAAGCGTGGCTTCAGCGAGCAGCAACAGAGAGTCTTGACGATGCGGTTATACAAGCAGCAGCCATCCAGCCCTTACCTTGGGGGGGGGGGGGGGGGGTGATGGGCCGGTGAAATCTCCGCTGGTGATCGATTCAGCCCCAGGGGTGTAAACTGCGGGAATTGCAGCTGGAGGGGGAGGAACCGCAGGAAAAAAAATCACTGCTAGCAGGGGGGTGGCCCAACACAGCCTCAGTGACAATAATAATGATGATGGCTGGGTTAGTTTGGGAGAAGAGGAACAGTATTCCAAGTGGATCAGGCATTTTGATGAGCCAGTAGGATACTGTGGAGACAGGGATCTGTCAAATTCAGAACACATTGATTTTCTGTCAGTTTTTTTTGGATGAGGAATTCTGGACCCTCATCACAAATGAAACTAACCGATATGCTCACCAGTATTTAGAGAGGGAGGAACTGAAATTTAGCTCCAGATATAATGACTGGTACGATGTAACTGTCCCAGAAATGAAAGCGTTCATTGCCATTCAGTTCCGCATGGGGCTTCTGGATAAGCCTGATATATATATATATATATATATATATATATATATATATATATATATATATATATATATATATATATATATATATATATATATATGTCATTGTCATGTATCTGAGTGTGTGAGCTGTGAGTAGATAGTGATTCACTTGTTAAATCTAACTTTACTGATCATAACATAATAATATTCATTTCAACCACAGTAATTTCATCACAGATTAATCAAAACATTGTTATTATTCTTCAACCATTATTGTTCATTCAACCATATGATTATTTACTCATCTTGTTCCTTGTACGATTCATTTATGAGAGTTCATCCGTCTTGTGCTGTGAAGTGAAGCAGTCTTAGATAAGAGGGAGCTTTGCGAGGGACCTTGGAAAACACAGTATCTTTCTTGCAGGTTTAAGCCCCAGTTAAGACTTACGTCTCCATGTGACCCGATACTGAAGAGGTCAACCTGTGGATGGAAAAACAGACCATTTCCGGAGGCTACACTTGTGAAACATTTCTGTCAAATTCAAGTAAACTTGTTGGCACTTTACATTGCTAGTTCAGTGCCAGTGCAGTTCTTGGGTAGCGCCAGTGCAGTGCTAGTGCAGTGCTTGGGCAGCGCTAGTGCAGTGCTAGCGTAGTGCCAGTGCAGTGCTAGTGTAGTGCAATGCTTGGGTAGTGCTAGTGCAGTGCTAGTGTAGTGCTTGGGTAGTGCTAGTGCAGTGCAATGCAGGGCTAGTGTAGTGCAGTGCTAGTTTTCTGCTAGTGTAGTGCTAGCGTAGTGCAGTGCTAGTGTAGTGTTGTGCTAGTGCAGTGCTAGTGTAGTGCAGTGTTAGTTTTGTGCTAGTGTAGTGCTAGCGGAGTGTAGTGCTAGTGTAGTGCTGTGCTAGTGCAGTGCTAGTGTAGTGCTGTGCTAGTGTGGTACTTGGGTAGTGCTAGTGTATTGCTAGCATAGTGCAGTGCTAGTGTAATGCAGTGCTAGTGTAGTGCTTGGGTAGTGGTAGTGTATTGCTAGCATAGTGCAGTGCTAGTGTAATGTAGTGCTAGTGCAGTGCTTGGGTAGCGCTAGTGCAGTGCTAGCGTAGTGCCAGTGCAGTGCTGGTGTAGTGCAATGCTTGGGTAGTGCTAGTGCGGTGCTAGTGTAGTGTTTGGGTAGTGCTAGTGCAGTGCAGTGCAGCACTAGTGTAGTGCAGCGCTAGTTTTCTGCTAGTGTAGTGCTAGCGTAGTGCAGTGCTAGTGTAGGGCTGTGCTAGTGCAGTGCTAGTGTAGTGCAGTGCTAGTTTTGTGCTAGTGTAGTGCAGTGTTAGTGTAGTGCTGTGCTAGTGCAGTGCTAGTGTAGTGCAGTGCTAGTGCAGTGCTAGTGTAGTGCTGTGCTAGTGCAGTGCTAGTGTTGTGCTTGGGTGGTGCTAGTGTATTGCTAGCATAGTGCAGTGCTTGTGTAATGCAGTGCTAGTGCAGTGCTATTGTAGTGCTTGGGTAGTGCTAGTGTATTGCTAGCATAGTGCAGTGCTTGGGTACATGAAAAAGTGCTAACACTAATAAGTACAGTTAGTGCATAACAGAGGAAGTGTCCATGGAGCATCATCATTTTGTAAACAAAAGAATTGTCAAGGTTTCCACGCACAAGAGCAATCTGCTGCGCTAACAATCATTCGAGGCCATTTGTTCAGCAGATAGCTTGCTGTGTGCTCCTAGTTTTCTGTTATTTTTCTGCCTCACAAGACGCTGAGGTTAAAATCAAACAGGTTTGACTTTTTTCACCCAAAACGACAACAAACCCATGTGCACGCTACATGAGCTGTTTGCCGAGGGAAAATATTCAAGTGACCAATCAAAATGTGTACGCCACTCACATGATTCCAAGACAGCAGCCTCCTGTCTTCATGTCAGAAAGAGTAATGAAAGAGAGACAGATGGACATGAAGACAATGCTGCTACTCATTTAGCTAAACTTCAGACGGCGGCAGCATCTCATATCTGAGATTTCTCTTGTTCTGCAACTTGGAGCCATAACTTGAACTGTGCCTGTGGTCTTCCATTCCCTCAGTACAGGTGCTGGCCAGTAAATTAGAACATCATCAAAAGGTTGAAAATATTTCAGTAATTCCATTCAAAACGTGAAACTTGTACATTATATTCATGCAATGCACACAGACCAATGTATTTCCGATGTTCATTACGTTTAAATTTGATATTCATAAGTGACAACTAATGAAAACTCCAAATTTGGTATCTCAAAAAATTAGAATATTCTGAAAAGGCTGAATATAGAAGACACCTGCTGCCACTCTAATCAGCTGATTTACTCAAAACACCTGCAAAGGCCTTTAAAAGGTCCCTCAGTCTTGTTTTGAAGGCACCACAATCATGGGGAAGACTTCTGACTTAACAGCTGTCCAAAAGACAATCATTGACACCTTGCACAAGGAGGGCAAGACACAAAAGGTGATTGCTAAAGAAGCTGGCTGTTCGCAGAGCTCTGTGTCCAAGCACATTAACAGACAGGCGAAGGGACGGAAAAAATGTGGTAGAAAAAAGTGTACAAGCTCTAGGGATAACCGCACCCTGCAGAGAATTGTGACGACAAACCCATTCAAAAATGTGGGGGAGATCCACAAAGAGTGGACTGCAGCTGGAGTCAGCGCTTCAAGAACCACCACGAGGAGACTCATGAAAGACATGGGATTCAGGTGTCGCATTCCGTGTGTCAAGCCACTCTTGAACATGAAACAGCGCAAGAAGCGTCTCGCCTGGGCC